CCGGAGCTTGTGGGTCTCTGCTTCAACTGCCTCGCGCACGACCACATCGCCGCTCAGTGTCGCTCCCCGTTCCGCTGCCTCCGCTGCCGAGGTACCGGCCATCGGGCCAGGGCATGCAAGCGTGGTCGTTCGCCGGCGTGCAAGCGAGGCCCTTCGCTTACGCGTAAGCCTTCGTCCTCGGTGGTGCGTTGCCTCGGGACGGGGTGATGTAAGGCGCATCGCCCCGTTGGTCCAAGGCGACCCAGCTCGTCGTCGAGATGTCGCGCCAGCCAGACCATACACCGACACTGTCGTTGCCTCGTCATGTGCAGCAGTCGATCATGCCGTCATCGTCGCCACAGCAGCACCACAGCAGTAGCCTGTCGCTATCACCACCTCTAGGTGACGCTGATAGCCATCCCAAGGTCGAGGTCTTCGTCATCAAGAGGAATGTGGACGCCATGTTTGGAGCGGACGTCCCCCTTGTGTTAGTCGCACTCGTTGGCGGAAATCAGCCTGCTGTCACGCCGGCGGAGTTTCAGGCACACCTTGCCTAGTTCCATGTGTCTGATGGTGCGACCAGGGTCTGTGCTTGGCTTGGGGGGGCCTTGCACACGAGTGTCAGCAGGATGGTCACTCTTGCTCGTTGTGCGAGAGAGTTGGACTTGTGGGCGAGGCGGACCTCATGTTGTGGAGTCGGCCGAGGCAGCTGCCAACGACAGTAGACACGATGGATCCAATGATGGTTGAGGCGGCAATCCAAGGTCCGCCCCGACCATCGCCCCGCTTTCGGAACCAGGCCATGTTGCGGTGACGACCACTGACATGGTCGACAACCCTCCTGGTGACGTCCAGCCGACATCCGACAACGAGGACGGCAGCGCCCGAAGTGCGCTTGGCACCCCTCCCCGACCGGTGCAGTCGAGTTCGATTCAAGAAGAGATCGAGTCACGGATCTACATCCCTCTATAGACCCCCATCATCCGTGCTGGCCCGAAGCTCAGGAGGTCCAAGACGCCGAGGTCGGGTTTCACGATGAGGCGCAGCGAACGCATCGCTAGGAAACCCTGCGCGGCCAACTCCACGCTACAAGCGCAGAATGTTCTGAAGCAGAAGCTTGGTATCGCCGTCGACTCCAATGCTGCGGACGCCAAGATGGTTGAAAAGTTTAGGGCGACCTTTGTGGCCCCTTTGTCGGCCTGTTGGCCGGAGGCCCTGTAGCTGTTGTTTGGGGGCGAATTCGATCAGGTAGCCATGAACCTGGATATGGTCGGGTTTGACGCCGAGGTGTTTTAGGCCTTCTGCTTAGCTGGTGTGTTGCGAAATACTACTATGTAATCACAACCACGTGTATTTTCTCGGTCGCTGGTCTCGGTAATCAGTAGATTACCGTGGCCAGCTTAGGTTGTAATAAACTCTACTGCTGCTCAATGAAAAACGTGCTACGACACAATCTCAAAAAAAAGCTATTAAGATCGTCTGTCTCTACGAGTCTATGGGCTGTGGTTAGAGCTTCCTAAAACACCGTATTAGCTAGTGTGCACCTGCACTGTCGTCATCTCTTCTTCCTCTCATCCGCGAATAAAAATATACCTAGAGGCATATGTGTCAGGGCCCATATCGGGCTCCCAACTAAATGGGCTGTCGGAAAGCAAGCAGCCCAAACGCGGCCCTCAGGTCTGTCGACATCGAATTATGGAGCGGCAGGAGGCAACTAATGATGTTTAATTAGTGCCACCTCGCTAGCGCAATGAGAGAAAGCTTTGCATATAAGCTGGTGTGCCCAACTTAATCTTGTCTCTTCGGAGTCATCCGATAAAATTAGAACGATACGTAGAATATTAGCATGGTCCCTGCACAATGATGGAAATGGTCTAATTTTTTTTGAGATTTTGCGCTCCAATCCTTAGGCACCTCATAATCTACTTCAATTTCAATTTAGATTGTTGTCATTTTAGCAACACTTTAGGTCCAGTTTCTCTATCTAGTTTTAACCAAATTTATTGAACATCTACAACATCAGACTAGTCTATATTATTAGATACATCATGAAATGCATTTTGATAATGCATTTATTTGATATTGTAAAAATGTAATGGATATGCATTTTAAAACCTTGGTCAAAGTTCAATAAGTTTGACTTAGAAAAGAGCTCCATAAAACACTATATTAGTGTGCACCTACACCGTCGTCATCTCTTCTTCCTCCCATCCCGTGAATAAAAATACCTATAGGCATATGTATCAGGGCCCATATCGAGCTCCCAACTAAATGGGCCGTTGGAAAGCAAGTAGCCCACACGCGGCTCTTAGGTCTGTCGGCATCGAATTATGGAGCAGCATTGAGGGAGGCAACTAATGATGTTTAATTAGTGCCACCTCGCTAGCACAATACAAGAAAGCTTTGCTTATAAGCTGGCGTGCCTAGCTTAATCTTGTCTCTTTGGAGACATCTGATAAAATTGGAACGATACAGAGAAGATTAGCATGGCCCCTGCGCAAGGATGACACGCACAAATCGAGAAATGGTCCAAATTTTTTTGAGATTTTGCGCTCTAGTGCTTAGACACTTCATAATATACTCCTTCCATTCCAATTTAAACAGTTTATTTAAATTGTAAAGTCATTTTAGCAATACTTTAGATCAATTTTCTCTAGTTTTAACCAAATTTATCGAACATCTACAACATCAGACTATATTCATATGAGATACATTTTGATAATGTCTTTATTTGATATTGTAAATGTGGATATACATTTTTTAAACCTTGGTCAAAGTTTAACAAATTTGACTTAGGAAAGAGCTAAAGTGTATTGCAATTTGAAACAGAGGGAGTATTATTTTGGATATAACGTTCCTTGGTGTAGTCTTTTTTATAATTCTTTGAGTAATACTAGACCACAAAAGGAGTTACCGTATGTGCTGTGATAGAAGATTTTTTTTCAATATAGAGTACTACAGAATGAGTCCACGATATACATAAGAACAATTAGGCTTAGTTTTACTGAAATTGGGCATAAACATGATTAATCAAAGAACAATTAGGCACTAATTTAGGCACAAACAACGTTAACCGTGACTAACCATAACAATTAACTAAACCTATGCCCTAAACATGCACAATTACGCACATTTAGAGGCACAATTAGCTTAGGATATGACATGATTAACATGACTAATTAGGTCATAATAGCAAGTAATTAGGGCACTAAACACAACATGATTAGGCTAATTTGACCTCCAATTAACATAAGTCCAAGCACAATCTAGAAATTAGTGGTTCATTAACTAGATTAGCAGGCTCTCAGTGCCACAATATTAGAAAACAAAGGCGCTAATAAACCATATGATCTCTAATTTAATTATATGAACACCTATTAATCTAATGTGAATTAGGATCGCTACCATAACTTCAAGCTAGGTAGTCAACCATCGGTGAAGTAGATCCGCGATGAGCTAAGTTGACGTCAGTAGTGCACTTGCCTAGTGCACTGGCACCGACTTTTGTTTTCAACGAGGAAGAAGAGGCGACAATCTTCTCTTCACTTGCAGCACCCCTTTGATCGAATCTTAGGAGGTTCGTTTAGCTGGCTAATCCTCTAGGAACATTAGTTTCCTCAGGTGAAATACATTCTTCATATTGGCACTATGTGCCAGGGGGTTGCACAATCTTCGGTCGGTTGAGTGCCCTAACCATGCATGGATTCGTGGCACGTATGGGAACTGCGTGCCCCTCTTGACTCAGGGTGTTGGCCCATTTTCATCTCTTGGGCCGAGATAACTTTTTTCCAACACTATAATATTACCATAGCCCGCTCTTTATTTTAGAAGACTGAATCGTGCACCATCGTGTATCCGCTATGGCATGGCACCGTCTCAGGTGCTCCCATTAAAAAAAAACATTCAAAACATGCATGGAAAAAATCACAAAAAAGCTGGATAGATGATGCAAAGTCTATGTCAATACAAATTTGAGACGCAACAAAATCTTTCTGTGAAGATAAAAAAGTGTGAAATTAGCACTTAAATTAAAATAGCTATGAGTGAGTTTTTCATCTCCTTGCATAGATTTTTGTTTCATATCAAATTTTGTATGAACACATACACTTTAGCATCACCAATCCATTTTATTTTTTTAGTGAGATTTTCCGGTGCACGTTTTGATGCCTTTTCTTTGAACAGGAGCACCTTGTCGCCTACATATACTTTGGTCCTATATATACTTGGTCCTATATACTCACGTGTGGAATCTCGGGACCTAGGCCCACCGGCCAGCGAAAGAAAGGTCGTACCGTGAAACGAAGGTCTTGACTTTGGGCTGGGGGAGAATATTTGCATGTTACGGAAACGGGAAATAGGGGGAGACGTCACGCGAGCGCCTTTACAAGTCTCTATCGTCACGCCACCGCCGATGCTGGATGCTCTCTAGTTATCCCAGCAAACACACCAACCACCGCCAGCCAGCTCGTCGTGCGTGCCTCTGACTCCGGGCCCGACTGGTATCCTGCCCAATGCGAACTCGAGCAGCACGGGCCTCCCCGTCCAACGCCGCCGCAGACGATCCGGGCTCGGCGAACTGCCTATGACGCGCGGGTCCCGCTGCCGCCCTGGCGTACCCACCGGTCCCGCTACCGCTCCCGCGGTATATCTGGGTCCACGTCGCCATCCCCTGATTCCAGCCGGACCCGGCAAACAACCGAGACGCCGTGATATTTATTACCATGACATGTGGGGCCAGCTTATCCTTTACGGCCCCGAATAGAGTCCCGGCCCCGCACGTCATCGTCAAGAGCCGTCCGCGTGGCGCTCGTGCTGTGGTAGCCGAAGGGGATTCATTAATATTAATATAATACACTGGCAGTCGGCAGGCAACCTCATCGTCATCTACCTCGCTCGCACCACACGCGAAACCGAACAAACTACTCCTACAAAAACAAGAGCAGAGAGTATTTAATTTATTATTAATTATTACTCCGTACTAGTATTGGCATTGCCGTTGTCGATACCCACGCCGGCGACCGATGGGATCGGAGGCGGAGATCACGGGCCCGCTCCTCGCGTCCGGCGACAGTGCGCAGGCGCCGGCGCCGGAGGCGGTGCCCCCGTGGCGGGAGCAGGTGACGGCGCGGGGGCTGGCGGTCAGCGCCGTCCTGGGGGTGCTCTTCTGCCTCATCACGCACAAGCTCAACCTCACCGTCGGGATCATCCCCTCGCTCAACGTCGCCGCGGGGCTGCTCGGCTACTTCCTCGTCCGCACCTGGACGGCGGCGCTCGAGAGGTTCGGCGTCGTCTCCAAGCCCTTCACCAAGCAGGAGAACACCGTCATCCAGACATGCGTCGTCGCCTGCTACGGCCTCGCCTTCAGCGGTATGTTATGATTAGTATTATTGTGCCTGTGCGGCGGATGCAGGAGCTTGCTTGTTGTCGGCTAGAGGTGCTCCTGGGCTGCGATCTGTTCCAAAATTTGGTTGAGCTGTACAGGTGTCCGTCCATGTTGCCTAGAGTTACGAAGTTACTTTACTCGTTGTTATTTGGATCGGAGTTTATTTTTCATCGGGCGTTTAATTGCTGTAATTTATCTAAGTCAGATTGCTGTTAATAATTTATGCCTGAAGTCTAGCTTAGTTGGATTTCCTGTAGGCCTTTGACCCATGATGTTATTTAGATTTTCTGAGTCCAGTTAAGTTTAATTTGTGTTCAGTTTAGACCGGAGTTCAATTGTTCAAACGTTTTTATTTCAGACGGTATATAAAAAATGCTGTTATTTAGTAGTGGTTTAGGCGGGCCTGGTGCAAGCGGTAGAGTCTTACCGCCTGTGACCGGAAGGTCCCGGGTTCGAGTCGCGGTCTCCTCGCATTGCACAAGCGAGGGTAAGACTTGCCACTGACACCCTTCCCCAGACCCCGCACAGAGCGGGAGCTCTCTGCACTGGGTACTCCCTAGTAGCGGTTTAGGATTTTGTGTCGGTCAATGAGCAATAAAATTTGACAAAGATTTAATTCTGTTTCACATTTGTTGATTCATGATTTTTTTTGTTAGGGTGATGCTGTGATTACCTTATATATGATTGATATTATACTCTGATTGGGGAAATTTTGCTGCATTAATATCACATTGCTGTTTCATTCAGAGTGTTGGTCACAATAAATACTTTCCTCCTTTTGCTTTGAATAATATGTCTTATTATCAATGACTAATCTTGTGGTTGCAGGGGGGTTTGGAAGTTATATGCTTGCAATGGATCAGCGAACCTATGAGCTTATCGGGCCAGATTATCCTGGTAACAGGGCCGTGGATGTCAAGAATCCTTCACTGGGCTGGATGATTGGGTTCATGTTTGTAGTTAGCTTCCTTGGGCTATTTAGTCTTGTTGCACTACGCAAGGTACTCATTCAGCACTATGCACTCATGCATCATTCTTGAATGGAGTCGATCAGTTCGCATGACTTGTGTGTCTAATTTCTCTGCTGAGCTGTGATCTGTTTTGTTGTTTATTAGGTTATGGTAATTGATTACAAGCTGACTTATCCCAGTGGGACAGCCACGGCTATGTTGATAAATAGTTTCCACACAACCACTGGAGCTGAGCTTGCAGAGTAAGACTTTGCTTAGCGTTCAGCTGTGCGCCTTAATTTGTATACTCATTTGTTTGATTTGCAATTTTGCATACAATGGCCGTCATGATTTCCTGTAGATTGTTCCATCCTTAAGATCCCTTTCTTACCTACACACAATATATGTCACATCAAATTGAAAGGAGCCCAATGATGGTTTCTTTGTTTCTAAGCTCTCTTGATGAAACACATGCAATGTACGTTCTTGATGGTACACGATTTATGCATAATAAAATGTCATGACAAGGTCGATAGTTCTTAATCACAGAAGAATAGAAAGAACTTTTAGAGGTTTCTGTGGTCCTTTCAATGTTTATCCATTATACCAGGTTCACCAAGTGTCAACACATCACCTATGACTCCACCTAATTTTAGTAGGATCTCTCAGCCATTATTGAATCATCTTTTGATTTCAATATTGTAATGGTTTTTCCTATTTTATACCGTTCTATACTTCTAGTTGTAAGCCATCAATGGCTGCCAGATCACTCAAGTTCCAAATGATCTCAGATACTTTCCACATCCAACAATGAAAATGGAAATAACTAGCTTTGTTCAAAATAAAAAAGGTAGAAGCCACCCAGAAATGGACTCTTGTCCCCTTGGGGCAACGCTTTTGCTCCTTTCCCCCAAGCCAAACCTAGACCTCCCACTTGCACTCTTACAGGTGGATGTAGGCAGAGATGGAGACTTGTTCTTGGACAAGATGTGCTCGAATGTCAAATGTATGAATTGCATGTGCATAATGGATCCTAAGTTTAGAAAAAACTCCATCCAGAATCAGAAGGAGCGACACTATTTTATGCATGGACATGGTCTCCAAGCATATTTTTTTCTGTTTAATTTGTATGGTTACCTAACAAACAGAAATATTTTTCTACCCAGAGTTGCTTATGCACATTTCATAAGCCGGTGTAGACACCTTTGATGATGTGTAGGTCAAAATGGAAATGTTTGAACTGATTTATAGTCAAACAAACTGTTTCTTTTCGGTTACTGCAATTTTTTTTGTGGTCCTAACTTTTTTTTATCGTTGCAGTCAGCAAGTCAGGTGTCTTGGGAAGTACTTGAGCATTAGTTTTATCTGGAACTGCTTTAAATGGTTCTTCAGCGGTGTTGGAGATTCTTGTGGTTTCGATAATTTCCCTTCTTTGGGACTTGCAGCATTTAAGAATACGTAAGTTTTCTATGACTATTTTTATATCCCTTAGGGCTTGTTTGGAACTTTGGATACCCATTCCAGTATTCCACATGTGGATTTGATGGGACTGGGGACTGGGTGGGAATTAGTTCACCCCCCGCCCCACCCCACCCCCACAGTCCCTTCCAATCCACAAGGGAATGGGTTTAACTAGCCCTTAGAGCTTACAGGAGGGCTTGACTTCTAAATCTGATTTAATGTCATGAAAGTACACAATCCTTTAAGGTGGGATATCATTGCCATGTTCTCTGAAAAACTTGACTTTTCCACTCTGTGTAGGTTTTATTTTGATTTCAGCCCAACCTATATTGGATGCGGTCTTATTTGTCCACATATTGTTAATTGTTCTACACTTCTTGGTGCCATCATATCGTGGGGTTTTCTTTGGCCATATATATCCACAAAAGCTGGGGATTGGTATCCAGCTAACCTTGGAAGCAATGACTTCAAAGGACTCTATGGATACAAGGTATGGTATATTGTTACATGCCATCAATAATTCTTAATTCTTTACTTCATTCTGAAAGTCAGCTACTCGTAGTAACTTTCTTTGTTCAATCGATCTGGAGCCAATGGATCAGATGGTATGAGTGATAAAAGGAAATAATTCTTATCCTCACTGTTTTGATAAACCTAAAATTCTGAAATGAATTTTGGCTGTTGATGTGAGTAATAGTAACAATTATCATACTGTCATATGTTTCATTGGTGGGCATGGATTGGTGAGATCCGTGACTTTGGGTTCAAGACTGATAAAAGGGCATACACATTGCTGAAAGCTCCTTCACACTCTGGGGGTCTGGGTAGAATTTCTGGGCAGCCATGAACCTTGATAGTATTGAATGCTTTGTCATGTATTTAGCGCAAGGTTATCAAGTTATCCGATTAATCATGATTAGTCAGGCTTATCAGTGCCATTGTGATCAGTTATGCACTACGATTAGTCCTGATTAGTCTTGATTAGTCGGTCTGATCAGTGCCATTGCGACTAGGGTTGATTAGAGCATGTTGATAGAACATCTAACTCATTGTACCCTACAGATTTTTTGTTCACATGCCATCAGTATTTACAACTTTTATGTTTCACAAAAAGTTAAACTGTATATATTCTCTGCATTCCAGGTTTTTATATCTGTATCTGTGATCCTTGGGGATGGCCTTTATAACCTCATCAAGATCATTTATGCTACTATCAAGGAAATAATGAATGCACGGGCAAAGAAAGGAAGACTGCCACTAGTACAAGTTCAGGATGGTATGCTTATTCTTATCTTATACTTCCTATTTTATACATCGATGCAGCAGGATCTTATGCTGTTACTCCTGGACAGGCGATGAAGGTTCAAAATTATCAGCTGAGGAAAAGCATCTGAATGAGACATTCATAAAGGACAGTATTCCTCCCTGGTTGGCAGGATCTGGTTATATTGGCCTTGCAGCAATATCGACTGCAACTGTCCCAATGATCTTCCCACAGATCAAGTGGTACCTTGTCCTCTCAGCATATGTTGTTGCTCCCCTTCTCGCTTTCTGCAACTCGTATGGCACTGGCCTGACAGACTGGAACCTTGCATCCACATATGGAAAGATTGGCCTCTTCATTTTTGCCTCATGGGTTGGCCAGAATGGTGGTGTGATTGCCGGCTTAGCAGCCTGCGGTGTTATGATGTCCATCGTGTCCACTGCAGCCGATCTCATGCAGGACTTCAAGACTGGTTACCTTACACTCTCTTCCCCTAGGTCCATGTTTGTGTCGCAGCTGATCGGGACCGCCCTTGGTTGCGTCATTGCTCCACTCACCTTTTGGCTTTACTGGTCGGCTTTCGACATTGGTAACCCTGACGGCGCATTCAAAGCTCCATATGCTGTAATCTTCCGTGAGATGTCAATCCTTGGCGTGGAAGGGTTCTCTGCACTGCCTCAGCACTGCCTAGCGATCTGCTCGTTTTTCTTCATTGCATCTCTGGTGATCAACCTCCTTCGGGACGTCACTCCAAAGAATGTCTCCAGATTCATCCCAATCCCGATGGCTATGGCCATTCCCTTCTACATTGGTGCATACTTTGCCATCGACATGTTTGTTGGGACAGTTATCCTTTTCGTCTGGGAGAGGGTTAACCGCAAGGAGTGTGATGACTTCTCAGGTGCGGTTGCCTCTGGCTTGATCTGTGGTGATGGGATCTGGACTGTTCCTTCTGCGATACTGTCAATCCTTAGGATTGACCCACCAATTTGCATGTACTTCAAACCATCCGTTAGCAGCTAAAATTGGAACCAGTGTTATCCATTATCTGGATATCACAAGAGGACCTACCTGTGTATATCTTTACTACTCCATGTAAATTGTACTAGGAAGAAAAGCTGTCCCCTAATGCAATCTGTTGATTCTTATTCTGTTTTTGCCATGCTTATGATAATTCAGCTTTCATTTATCCTAGTTCTGTGAACTTGTTTAGTTATTTTATTTTATATGGTTGAATGATACATAAATTACTCTTGCGTGGAACGTAGGAATTATATGTGAAAGCCTTCCAGGTTTTGTGGAAATATTTCTGTTGTTTCAAAATGGGTTAAGGCCCTGTGTTCGATGCATTTTGGAGACTTGGAAAATCAATATGGTTTTATGGAATACTTTGGTTTTGAAATTTTTGGTGTTTGGAAAACCATGCTATTGCCATAGTTGTAGTCCTTTTGGGTTTCTTCTACTCCACTCAACACCTCTTTGCTTTTTTCTCTTTTTTTCTTCTATATCGTAGTTTTGTATGTCTCTTGTATAACACTACAGTTATTGATATAATGATTTCTCAAAACTGCAACATCCAAACAGTCCCTAAGTGTTAGCTTGTTTGCTCGACCTCTTGCTAGATGGATGCTCTTTTCACAGCAGCCATTGTTTCCTCAACTTATTATTACCAATTTAAGTTGTTAGCTTGTTTGCTCAACCACTTACTGTTGGTGTTTCTTATGTCTAGTGGAGGAATTCCGAAAGCGCATAGAACTACCGTGTAACACTTCGCCAGGTGAGTATCGAGTGTTGAATTTATATTTTCCCAAAGAAAGACGGAAGGCTATGAGTATAGATGATCATTAGGAATGCTAAAGGAAAAGGGTGTCCTTAGCCTAGGTGAGTAAATGGATTGGTGGTTGATGTAAATGGATGGGCGAATGAATGGGTAAACTAGTAAACAAGCTAAACTAGAGGTAGGATGTCTAGATGGGAGAGCGAGCAATATCTTAATTAACAAAGGTAAACAAATGACTAGGAGGAATTCTTTAGTACTTCGGGGCACAGCTTGACTACCAATCAGGAGGGTTAACTAGACAAGGTCTAACACGAGCCCTACAATTTAATAACTAGACCTATCATGGTGAAATACAGAGGATGGACAAGGCTGTTACCACTTGCCAACTACCACAATCTATTCGGAGGCCTAGCCGTAGCCTAAGCACCACGCTTAATATATAAACTTACTACTTCGATACGAGCTCCGATAAAATGAGATCAAAGCACCCTAACTAGACGGTGGAACCGGTACTAACAAATAAATACTAAACAAAAGATAACCTATGATACTAATGCTAAGAGCAAGCACCTAAGCTCACTAATGATGAACAATAATGAATAAGTACTTGAACTAAGCAAAGCAATAATACTAAATAAAGTATTGAAAGTAAAGTACTAAATAAAGTAAATGCTAAATGAAAGAATTACAAAGGAGCTATACTAGACCCAAAAGACTCTTTCGGACTCCGAAGAAGCTTCGCTCTAGCTCTACTTCCACTACTAAGCTACTACTCTAGAGCTACTCTAAACTAGAAAGCTTGGAGAAGCTTGGAAGGATTGAATATGAATGTGCCACTTCCCCACCGAGCACCACTGCCCCTTTTATAGTGTGTAGAGGCGGTGGGGGTACTTATAGGCCAGCAAGTGAGGTGATGGAGGAAACTTGGGCGTCGGGCGACGTCCATGGGCGTCGGGCGACGTTGATGTCACCGACTTTGCATCGTAGGGCCTTGATTGCTCTCCAAAGTCGGTTCCATGGCAGGTTGGTCGGTTACTTTAGGCAGAAAGGCAGTTTGAGGTTAGTTTGGCCCTCCAAGTGGATGACGGTAGACCCAGGGATCCAAGGCAGTTCAACCTCCACCTTTGGATCAAACCAACATTGATCAAGGGTGGTGAGGCCTTGTGGAGTCTCTCCCACGGATCAGTGACGTGGCAGGGGCTAGGGTGGCGTCAGGTGACACCATGTGGCGTCGGCCGATGTGGCCCTATGGGCCCTAGCCTCCCTACCACATCCACTTGTCTCCTATGTACATGTTTTGCACCATTTTTGCCAAATTTCCTGCATACAAATAAATTTCCAAGTACAAGTGGAACTAGGTGAATTATAAAGCAAATTGGACACATGTGATGATGTTTTACCTCACTTTATCTTGCTTTTGGGTGAAATGTTGACGGTCAAAATGGGTATTAGTGACCATCAACAAGCTCCCCCAAGCTACCCCTTTGCTCGTCCCGAGCAAAGATGCGGGTTTAGCATAGCATAGATGTAGGTGTATCATGTTGGATCAGGAGTTGCTACAATGCAACACTTTGACATTCTAGATGTTAAAAAGCAATTCAAATCTTGATCATGAGCATCATCAAGCATAATCACAAAGTATCATGTCATGTATGCACTACATGTTTCAATTGTTGCATGTATATGTTGCATATGTGGTGTTTCTTATGTTACATGAAATGTTAATGATAAATAATGTTTAAGGTTCTTTGTGTTTTTATATATGTGAATTTGCTTAAACAATTAAGATTTTGATAATATAAAAATTTGTTGTCTAAAGTATACTCTTGAATATAGAAGCAAAATGGTGAAATGTTCTCAAATCAAACATGTCTAATTTTGAACTCAAAGATTGAATTCAGTAACTGGATTCTCAAACTTAGCCATTTTGGTTAAGTCCTTGAAATGCAGTTATTAAGTCCAATCTTTGGTGATTTATTAAATCAATTTTCATAAAAAATTGTGTCCAACTTTTGTTCCAATGTTTAGTCCTACACTTGAGCCTTGATAATGTGCAATTAGTTCTGATGTTTGATTATTGGTTGTTCTTAAATTAAATCCCAAAGTTGCTACGCAAAATCTGTTTTTTCAAAACCTGAAACTAAAACCCTAGGTTTAGTTTCACTGAACCCTTGACTGGAATTCAAAATCTCAAAATCCCGAGCTCTTTTGATCTTGAACCTTAAAGCAAAGTTGGAGACCAAGGATGGATGAACAACTTTTGTTAATGAAGATCATCGAGCTTCTGTTTGGAATCATGAGAAAAGGAGAGAGGAAGTTGGCCTGTCAGCCATGAATAGTGGCTTCGGCAAGCAGCTGCCACGCAGCTGCTCACCTACGGCCGCCGCCCTCCAACACCGCGTCCGCGCGCGATGGCACGCACCTGCTTGCGTGGCCAAGTTCAAGCAGGTGCTAGCGAGGCTAGAGAAGCCGCTCGCTCCGTTAAAACACCCCGCCACCGGCGTTCCCTTCTCTTTCTCTTTTCTGCGCCACCGCCGAGTAGCTCAGTTCGCGGTCAAAATTAGTCATTGCCACCGCCGGAGACCTCGCCGCCGACGAGCTACGCGGCCGACCCGTCCGGCGTGCTCACGGTCAAGGCGGGCAGGGTCAGGTTTGACCATCGTCCCTCCGCGTCAGTGACCATGTGTCGCTGGGGGTGGGTGAGAAAAGTTTAAAACGATTTATTCTTTTTCAGAAATGGATTAAAAGTACAGTTTCTTATTTAATTTATAACTAATTATTGGTGCATGCTAAAATTATGAAACTTTTTGTGTAGCTTTGTTATGATGTGCTTAATCATGGAAAATATATGAGTTTGCATTAATTAGTACTTTTGCTATGCTTAGAAATTACATCTTCTAATTAATAGATGGACCTTCCATGATTTTTGTAGGCTAAAATATTTATCCTTTAATCATGAAACTTTTTGTGTATGATTTACATGCTTAGACCTGCCTTCATAAAAATTATGGTACTGTTTTTATAATTATAATTTATCCACTTAATTACATACTTTAATTATTAGTTAATAATTACCAAAATAATGAGGATAAATCATAAAATAACCTTGGTGTGTTTTATACCTTGATTGTGACCTTGGGGCCCCAAACCCTCTGCTGTTCCTTGGCAAATTAAATAATTCTTTGATATGTTTATATTTAACTTGTCGGTTAATAACTAAAAGGACTTACTTAATTGTTTAGTTAGTAGATGCATGTGATTAGATCATGTTTTGATCCTTGGTTGCCCTCATGGTTAAACTTGGTGTGATGTTAAGTTAAATACCTTGCCTTGCTTGATTAGTATAATAAGTGTTGCTTTCATGATAACAACTAATTAACTTGTTAGTTAAATAAATGTAAATGCTTTTATAAAACAAACCCTAGTTCTTTGGTGAAGGAGAGTTGTACTCAACTTTCTTAACTTTGTTTATCTTCTATTATGCACTGGAATGTTCTCATCATACATCATGGCATGTAGTCCATCATGTTAAGCAAAGCATCATTTATTACGTGTAGCGTACAAGAGTGAGAAGGCTCGTGTTGATCAAGTTTCGGAGAAGGTCCATCCACCAGTGGTGTTGGTGCCAAGTCTAACTTTTGTGATCCCTCTATGGAAACTAACCTTCTTTGCAACGCAGGTAAGCCCCGGAGCATAAACCTTTCTCTAGTATTTATAAATCTTTATTACACCTTAAGTCTTGTGGGATGTGCATTAAGTAATTAGGAGTTGGTCGAATACCATTGCTTCATGATTACCTTGAATTTAGGTTTCCTTAGTCGTACCCTGCTAGTATGTGTAGGTCGGTATATCTTATGCTTAGTAATGCTTAGACTTCGATAGAAGTTGAATGATGGTTTCATCGTTCGCATGGAATAGGTTTTACCTTGCTCTTCTCGGCTTTGCTGATGGGTCATGAGAATACCATGATATATGATAATATTAAATTAAGACCGGGTGGGTAGCTTGCATTGAGAATGGAGTCTCAATGTAATGCTCTGCTTTGTGTCAATTAAGGATCGTTCGTTATTAGACCTGTGTGAGTCGAGACTTTGTAGTACTGGCCACATACTCCGATAAGCCTAATACCTCGGCTATTCCATTATGAGAAAGGACAACCACGCACTGGGAGTGGAGAGATGGCGAGAGAGCGTGTACCCACCCTATGACGGTGGAGTACTGTGTTCTAGGGTGGCGCGAACCC